GTATCCTTCAGCGCCGCGGTCTGGAAACACGAGTGTCGGACGCGTCGGGCGGTACCTGGATGTATCCCGGACTCCTGCGACTGAAGGAGCAACAGGTGGCTTTTTAAAAAAAAACAACAACAACAGCAAAAAGGTTTGCTGCTTTTTAGTTTCGGTTTCCAAGATAAGCCCCTTCTGTCGCCGCGCTGCAATTTCAACCTCGGCGGTTCCCCTCCCCACAAGAAAAGTTTGGAACGTGGCTGAAGGTGAAAACCGGGTTTTTTTTTAGTAATGCTATGTTCTCAAATAAATTTAACTCGGTTAAAGTAAACTGGTACAGAATTAGAAAGAAAACATTCAAAGAAACACATTGAACGGTCTTATTGCGGTGTCCAGGTGAACCCTGGGCAGCTCGGGAGCCAGCCATGCTGTCTCATAGCACTGGGCTCCGTTCCTGGGGTGCTGTCTGTGTGGAGTTTGCACGTTCTCCCTGTGTTTGCATGGGTTTTCCTCCAGGTGCTCTGGTTTCCTCCCACAGTCCAAAGAAAAGGCTTCAGGTTAATTGGCTACTGGGGAAAACTGGCCCTGGTGTGTGTGTGTGTGTACCCTGCCTTGAGCCCATTGCTTGCTGGGATAGACTCCAGCTCCCCCGTGACACTGTACTGGAAAAACTGGTTAGAAACTGGATGGGTGGTCTAACCATCTCTTGCTCACGAAGAATGAGAACATTTCTGAGAACTTTGGAAAGCTGCTGAATGATTTTAACACATTTATTAGATCAAGTGTCGAGGTGATAAGTGTCATTAACCTATAGACTGTATACTCCACGCTCTGCTGTCATTGAGCACACTGAATTCTTTGACAGTAAATAAATACGAAAAAGGTTCAATATGAGGGGAACCTCTATAATCACAGTCGTTCATGGTTCGATTTCAAAGTCTTTGGATGATCGAGCTAAAACAATTCTTTGTTAGAGCCGTAGTGAAGAATCCAGCCCCGAACAAGCAAGAGTTTGCACTGGTAATTAAGAAGTTAGTTTTTTTTCCAATTCTAATAACTAAGCCCTTTGTCCAGAAGCCTCTGGTTTCCTGTGCAATGAGGCAGTTTCTGTGAAAAGCGATTGATTTTCATTTTCTCTCAGCTCCCTAGCTGCAGTCATTCAACACTAACAGACAGAAACATCTTCTAACAACAGTAGTGCAGATTTTCTGGTTAGACATTTGGAAGAAATGTCTTTTCAAGAGATAATGTAATACATTTGTAAGTACCTACACAGTACATATGTCACTGTACCACATGACTTTAAATGTCTTTTCCCCCTGCCTTTTATTGTCAAAAGTAATCCCTTACATAAATAATATGTAATTGTAACGGATTACTGTGTAATGGCGATTGATGCTGGTTGCTTTAAAAACCTGAATCAGAACAAGGCTTGGTAACAATATAAAATAATCCTTTCACATGCCCGAAAGTGATGTTACTGACTCCCGAAGGTACATGATGCAATACTACTCTTTCTAACTGGATATAACACCCTGTATTTTTTTGTTTTGCCTTTTTTAATGTGACATGATTTGGGTTTGGTTAGTTGTTTTTTTTCCTCCAGACGCGTCTTGTACAGTGAAATCTTAGCTGGGCGCGTTGGAACTTCTCTAAATCTGTGAGTGTTGTTCTATGAATCTTAACGTTGTTTTACTTTGGGAACTCGCACGTTCTTATCAGCGCCTTGCTTTCCGCTTTGTCATGGTGTTTGCGACATGTCCAGCAGGCTTGACACTAATTTTTTTAAAAAATTTTTAATGTGAAAGACGTAAAGTGTGCCGAAACTCACGTTAGGCTTTAAAGATCCACTACGTGGAGACGACTCAGTTTTAAGACATTAAACAATTGTGCCTTAACCCCCCACGGAGGGGATAATGCTGGGTTTGATGTGTTTTTACTGTTTGTATTCTTCAAGCTGAATGATGAAGGGATTTGAATACACCGTTTCTATTTAAAAAAAAATCTCCTTGGCTTCGTTTATGGAATAAGAAGCCCTTCTTGTCTTTTTTCAATGTACTTTTTTAAAACCAATTGTCGAGCATTCCTAGCTTTACATAAACATTTCCTAGGTTAATATAAACCGTGGAGATTCTGGGTACACACAAAAAAAACAGCTACTACTGTTCTGCTTTGCCTGAGGACTACAAATCCCATAACCCCCCAGGGCGACTTCCTGTAGTTCTTCTAAACAGGCTAACCTGCCTGCCAGTTGTTACGTCCACAGGCCCCGCCCTAGGCAGATGGGTTCACCGATGGGGGCGGTCCCTTGTGCCAGACACGCCCTAAAAATAGGAGGGGAGGACCCAGGAACGAGTTGTGTGATTGGCTGAGCGGCTGGTGGGCGGAGCCGGCAGTATGGTCGGGACGTCTGACACTTTTCCATACTTTAAATCCACACTTACATGAATGTGAGTCTGCAGCAGGGCTGTCCAGTTCGGGTCCTGGAGGGGTCAGTGAGTCTGCAGGAGGGCTGTCCAGTCCTAGTCCTGGAGGGGTCAGTGAGTCTGCAGGAGGGCTGTCCAGTTCTGGTCCTGGAGGGGTCAGCGAGTACTCAGCAGGGCTGTCCAGTCCTGGTCC